CCCCCCCCCCCCGCCTGCCCGCCTGGTACTCACATACTGTTGCTTCTTATCAGACAGAAGTCTCGTCATCTCTTCCCTTTCCCTTTTGATTTCTTTCTCGTCATAGTAAAATTCACGGACAGTGAACCTTAAAACAAGCACACCATGGCTGTTACTAAGAAGCGCCTGGAGGGGGCAGAGATTCCCAGGGGCCACATCTGGAGGTGCTCAAGGTCACACCCTTACTTGTTTTCTTTGGCTTTGACTTTGAAATCATCAATCACTTTTCGAAACAGAGTCACAGTGAAGAGGCCGCCATCATTGTCCTCCGCGATCAGTCTGTTGATAAGAAGCTTTTGTTCACCATTGGAATGGCCCAGCGCCCAGACCCACGCTGGAGCTGAGCTCAGCAAGGAGAAGGGTTGTTTTTTTCCTGTTGGTTGTGGGGCTTGAACTCAGGGCCTGGGCACTGTCCTTAAGCACTTTTTGCTCAACGCTAATGTTTACCACAGCACTACTTCTGGTTTGCTGGTGATTAATTGGAGATAAGAGTCTCACGGACTTTTATTTATAATACATATATAATAGCATATACTATTATATACTATATATGTTACAGTATATAATATATAGTATATGTGTATTATATATACTATATATTATATAGTGTATATAATATATGCTATTATATTTTATGATAGATGTGTATATGACATATATCATCTTTGTGCTATTTCTAACTAATAAAATATGAAAAAATATATTTTCTACACATCATTTCTGCAGTACCCACTGGTTACCCTATATGCTCTGACCCTCCACGGGCCCCACCCTGAAACTGTCTTCCTTCACACCTAGACTGTGCACAGGTAGGTGTCTGCAGGACCCCCAGTGGGGCAGAACAAATACAGCAGGCAGAACAGAGCTCAAAGCCAGAGGACCCACAGAGAAGCCCTGCAATGGATACATGGATGGATGGATGGATGGATGGATGGATGGATGGATGGAAGGATGGATGGATGGAAGGATAGATGGATGGATGGAAGGAAGGATGGATGGATGGATGATGGATGGATGAAGGATGGATGGAAGGATGGATGGATGGATGGATGGAAGGATAGATGGAAGGATGGGTGGAAGGAAGGAAGGAAGAAAGGAAGAAAGGAAGGAAGGAAGGATGACACTTCCCACGGGAGGGGCAAGGGAGTGGAGTTATGAAAGATAAAAGCAGGGTGGCTTATGACAGAGTTAGTGATAAGAGTTCTGGGCCAAGCATGCAAGAAAACTGAGTGGCCCAAGAGGAGCAGAGGGGACCAAGAAAGCCTGGGTATGGGGCTCAGAGGCCTCACACCCTGCAGGTGCCCAGAGCTGAGCTGGGGTCTCACTTGGTCGACCGAGGGACCACCATATCCGACAGCGATTCGTAGGTCTTCTGCCACCGGGCGTAGCTTGTCCTAGGAGGACAGGAACCATTCATCCTTAGGTGACAAAAGCTCTGGACGTCCTGAGGCTCAGGACGCTGTATCTGCTTTTTCCTAAGGTGGGAGGGGGGAGGGGGGAGGGGCAGGGGACTGTGGAGAGTCCCCAGCATTCCTGCAGGCCCTGCTCAGTGGCTCTGGGGATACCCTGGCCTAACCCCAACCTGGGTCCAGCCTGTGAGAGCTCCGGGTCTCCCACAAAAGGCCCCATAGAGAGAGCGAGGTATAGACATGTATGCAGCTCACTAATAACCTCCAGGCCTGACCCAGTGGGCGACCTGGAACCAGCTGACGGTCTCAGGACAAAGTTCAGAAAAGTAAGAACTCCCAGGCCTGTGACAGAGATGAAACTGTCTGTGACTGATAAGTCACACAGTAGGTGCACAATAAATGGCTGCTTAGATCACTGTCACCATCTTCCTACTGCTGTAAGCACAGCTGTTCGGTAGGTCTTCTAACCTGGCAGGTGGGCATGGAAATGGCCCATCTCCCTGTCTACTGAGCAGGGCTGATGTCCTTCCACAGTCCCTCCATCCATCCCAACAAGGGTCAAGACACCCTCCCCTCCCCCTGCCCTTCCTGGCCGCGTACTTGGGGACGATGACCAGCAGTGTGATGAGATATTCTGAATCCAACACAAAGTCCTCTCTGCTCACAATATCGCTCAGTGTCCGAGTGAAGAGGTTCCCCCTGCAAAGCCACACACACACACACAAAGTGTGACCAGCAGAAAGCGACCCACAGGGGCCCCCCGGCAAACCCACAACACCCGGATGGGGACAGGAAAGGAGCCAGCTCGGGAGCGTGCCTCTCCACACTGGAGCCTCCTAAGACCATCCTCCCGGACTCCATCCCAGCCTCATGGCTGCCGCCTCCTGCCTCCAGGGTCAGGGAGGCTGGCTGGGCCTCAGCTACTGTCACCAGTCACCAACACCTCGGTGACCCAAAGCGCCCTGTGCCACCATCGGCCATTGTGAGGGGACCTCGGGTGGCAGGCAGCTAAAATTACTGGCTGAGACAGAGCTGCGTGTCACTTTATAGGCCTCCAAAGTGACCAGGGGACACTCACCTGAAATAGCTTTGCCCTTGCCCAAGGGACCTAGCTAGTTTCAGGACTCGCCCCGGGGCAAGGCTGTCGGAGGCGGGAGTGTAGCTGTACATCACTACCAAGACACTCAAAGGCTGGGGGCTGGGCGCTTCCCAGGTACAGAGTCCCCTCCCTCCTCCCCCCTCCCCCAAAGCTTTAAAGGGGAAACACCAGTCTCCCCACACCCAGCCACTTTCCTTCTTTCCCAGTTTCTGTCTATGTAGCGGCGTGGCCCTGACATACCCCGGACAGCTCTCATGAGCACGCGACCCTCACACTACACTTAAGGTCTGAGCCTTGCCCTGTGCAGCCCCTTCACAGTGGAGCTTCCAAACATGTCTGCTGAATGAACAATGGTGTCTGCAGGCAGTGCAGGAATCAGATTTTAGGCTGCTGTGCATTTTTTAGGGCCTAGCTTATGGTCTGAGAGCTTAGTAGGTGCTTTAAAATATATGCTGAAATAGATCTAAAATCACAGGGGCATGATAAATTATATAGGACTCTAGACATTCACACACAGTGAGACCAAAGGAGAATATTCTTTTTGTGGGGTCAGTCATGGGGCTAGAACTCTGGGCCTGGGCACTGTCCTTCAGCTCTTTAGCTCAAGGCTAGTGTTCTACCACTTGAGCCACAGTGCCACTTCTGGTTTTCTGAGTGGTTTATTGGAGATAAGAGTGTCATGGACTTTCCTGCCCAGGCTGGCTTCGAACCACAATCCTCAGATCTCAGCCTCCTGAGTAGCTAGGATTACAGGTCTGAGCCACCAGCACCCGGTGAGAAAACTCTTACGAGAAGAACACAAAGGTGCAATGCCTGTGTACATCTGATCATATAAAATAATATTTATCGAAATGGAAACAAGAGGTTTTCACTTCATTGTTTTTTTTCTTGTTTACTCATTTGTCTATCTTTGGGAGGGTAAGGAAACACAGAAATGGACAAATGCAGCAGTGTACTCACCAGACACCATACTAAAAATGAACTATCTAACTTGTGGGTGAGGAAAATTGGGAGAGAGCGAGGAACGGGGTGACACTGTCCAAAAAGAAATGTACCCTTTCCCTGACTTATAACCCCTCTGTCCATCACCTTTATAGTAACAATAACAAACTTGTGAAAAAGAAGTAAGGGAAAGGAAGGGAAGGGCTGCATCACAGGGGTGGGAACGCCGGGGAGCGCGACGCTGGTAACGATGCTCTGCCTTGATAAACTGCTCTGTTAATTACACCTCCTTTGTACAACTACTTAAATTCTAAACATTAATGGAAAAAAGAACTATATAATTTGTAGGTGGGGACAGGACAGAAAAACTGAGACAGAGCAAGGGAAAAGATGACATTGTCCAAAAAGAAATATACTTTTTTTTGGGAGGGGGTCCAGTCGTGGGGCCTGAACTCTGGGCCTGGGCGCTGGCCCTCAGCTCTTCAGCTCAAGGCTAGCGCTCTACCACTTGAGCCACAGCGCCACTTCCGGCTTTTTTCTTTTTTCTTATATGTTGCTGAGGAATTGAACCCAGGGTCTCATGCATGCAAAGCAAGTGCTCTACCACTGAGCCACCTTCCCAGCCCAGAAATATACTCTTTACCTGACTTATATACCTGTAAACCTCTGTACATCTTTTTTGGGGGTTGTGGGTCTTGAACCCAGGGTCTGGGTGCTGTCCTGAGCTTTTTTCTCAAGGCTAGCACTCTACCACTTTGAGCCACAGTGACACTTCTGGTTTTCTGGAGGTTCACTAGAGAGAAGAGTCTCATGAACTTTTCTGTCCAGGCTGCCTTTGAACCACGATCCTCAGATCTCAGCCTCCTGAGTAGCTAGGATTATAGGCGTGAGTCACTGGTACCCAGCTTGTACATCACTTTTATAATAACAATTAAAAATTTTTAAAAATAAAATACATACTGAAAGAAGGCTTAGGTAACAGAGTCGTGAGGACACGATGTGGGCGCCTGGGCTCACGCCTGTAATGCTGGCTACTCAGGAGACTGGTATTTGATGACCATGGTTCAAAGCCAGCACAGGGAAGAAAAGTCTGTCAATGACAGGCTTTAGCTTGAATGGCTGTGCTGGAGACCAAGAGTGTTTGGGGTTCGCACTGCGTGGGGTTTGGGGCTCCACATAGGCATAATGAGCTCATTAGAGCTGGGATTCCCATGTTCCCCCTGCACCTCATGCCCACAGCCCAACCCACCCTGCGTGTCAGTGTTCTGAGTGCCACGAGGTCAGGCATGGCCTCTCCTCGGGACGCCATCTAGACCAAGCTATGGATTTGGGCACACTTTCAGAATCACAAGGGCTAATCACAAGAAGAGCTGGCCGGTGACAACCACAAGATGTACATGTAAGTAAAAAGTGGCCTTCTCCTGGTCACGGGAGGAAACCCTGCCAACCCAGCACTGTCCAGCAGCGTCCTCCTCCAGCCCCAGAAGAAGCTCACTGGCTGCTTCTTCTTTTCTTTTTTTTGTCGGTTGTGGGGCCTGAACTCTGGGCCTGGGCGCTGTCCCTCAGCTCTTCAGCTCAAGGTGAGTGCCATGTCACTTGAACCACAGTGCCACTTCTGGCTTTTTCTGCCTAGGTGGTGCTGAGGAATGGAACCCAGGGCCTCGTGCATGCAAGGCAAGCACTCTACCACGGAGCCACCTTCCCAGCCCCCACTGGCTTCTTACGTACCTCCAGTGCCAGTGTACTCACTATTGTCCCATGACAATCCCTGCCTTGCTGACACTGAACTTCCCCTTTCCTCCTGGCGGAACCCTCCACCACCTGATGCCAGGTCTGTCTGCTGGGTCCACTGACCGTCCAGGCAGACAGAGCAGGCAGCTGCGTTCCCGCAGAGGCTCCGCGCGGGGCTGGAGCTCACCGAGCTCTCTGCCCATCAAAGCACGAGGCTCTGCACCCCAGCTGCTCACTGTCCTTTGCAAGGTGCCCCCTGCACCCTCCATGGGTGAGGGGTGAGGGGGGTCCCGGGGAGCAGAGCAGCACCCGCGCGGGAACGCAGTACGCACGTGGATTTCTTCTCCAGGTTCTCCAGGTTCATCTTGAGAGCGCTGTAGGTGGCCGTGCGGGACTTCAGGTCAGTCTCGATCTGTGCCAGTTGCTGTGTGAGGAACGGAAACACTTGCTTTACAGCTACATCGTATTCATTCATATTATATACCACTCTCTGTACACCAAGAGAAGCATACTGCAGCACCATTTGTACAGCTACACAACCAAACTATACCATATTCATTGTAGAGCTACATGACTATGCCACATTGTAACTGCTGGCTACGTACAACGTCCCCATGGATCTGTGCTATGGCGTTTGGAGTTCAAAGACTAGGGCGCTGGTGGCTCACGCCTGTAATCCTAGCTACTCAGGAGGCTGAGATCTGAGGATTGCGGTTCAAAGCCAGCCCAGGCAGGAGAGACCGTGAGACTCCTATCTCTAATAAACCACCAGAAAACCGGAAGTGGTGCTGTAGCTCAAGTGGTAGAGCGCTCGCCTTGAGCTGAAGAGCTGAGGGACAGCGCCCAGGCCCAGAGTTCACAACCCACGACCGACAAAAAAAAAAAAAGACTAGCAGGAAAGCATGGCTTAGCAGACAGACACTGCTTACTGAGTCACGGGTGGCCCAAGGGGTGAACTGGCACATAATTCTAGGATCAGGCCTCCTAAATCAACTCTGACTCTGTCTCTGTCTCTCCCACCCCCCTCCCTCTCATGCCAGTACCAGGGCTTCGTGCTTGCTCATCTTGTTTCCTCACAGCTGGTGTTCTACCATATAGGCCATGCCTCCAGCCCAGATTTTTGCTAATCAATTGGATTTGGAGTTTCACAGTCTAACAAGGATGTGAGCCACCACTCTCCTCAAGAAACTCATAGAGTTGGGGAGCATCAGGTCCCCAAGGGCAGACTAGGGAGTGATGGGAAAGGAAAGGAGCAGCTCCGGGGTCAGAGCACCATCCGGGGCCTCTCAGGGGCCGTCCTCTCGAGCCCCTGTAGGCAATGGGAGGGCTGTGTGGCGGGCCTCTCTCATCCTCAGCCTAACCAGGGCACAGAAAGAGGCCTGAGGCCCCATCAGGGCCGGCAGGACAGGGTCCTACCCAGGGTCAACAGGCAGGGGTCGAACCCCAGCCTCCCTCCTCGGTCTTGCCAGAGTCTAAACCCAACGCGGGCCATCTCCATGGTCAGCCGTCCACACATCAGGCCCGCTCACCTTTGTGAGGGTGTCCACCACGTTCGCCAGAGGCTGCTTTGCAGGGTATTTGGCCATGTCCCATTCAAAGTGAGTCACGAAGGATGTCAAGTCAACTAGAACACACACACAGTTCAACAATGGACACAGCGCTCTGGCATCCCAACACCAGCGTCACAGAGCCCCCAGCCCGCTGGCCGCTCAGGGGCCACCAATACCCCACAGACCAGAGATCCCTGCTAGAGGCTTACTGTCCTCAGAGCCCTCAACCCTCCCCTTCCCCCCAGCCCCAAGAGCCAGCAAACAGCGAAGGGCACAAAACCTGCCACAGCTGTCCCTGCCTGTCGCTTTGTCCCCAACGGCCTGCTGGGTCTTGGGCCACACCATGATATTCCAAGGGCAACCAGCCACTTCTCCACCAGTCAGCACTGTATTGAGGCACCCTAAGGTCCCATCAGAGAGCATCAAACTAGCCCCTGAAAAGCCACCCAGCCCACAGCCTGTCCTAAGTGTCATCTGCTTGTGAAGCAGGTGTCTCCCTGCCTCCTGAGCCACACCAAGAGACGAGACCATTTCAATCTCTCCTGCTCCTTTCAAAGCACTTGACCCATTAGCCAAGCCCCAGAGCCTGCCTGTGACCATGACTGCCACCTGGTCAGGTGCGCACCTGCCAGCGCGTGCCCTTGAAAGTCTGCCTCACAGTGTCATAAATCTGTGTTCCTTTTCTTTCTCCAGAAACAAATACAACTTACTGCCCTCCGGGCGGCTGTGGGGCCTCTGAAACCAGATGTGGGGGGGGGTGAGCATGGAATTGATGCCAGATGTGGTGCTGACGATACCCGCCTGAGACAGAGCCATCAGGCCGCTGGCAAGTGAGGAATGGAAGTCAGATGTCCCGCCTGAGGGCGAGGGCTCCTCGCTCTCCAGACTTGCACATTCATAGAACTTGACTTCTTTTCCTTTTCTGATCTTTCTGTTCTTTCCTTCTTCCTTCCTTTCTCTCTCTCCTTCCTTCCTTCCTTTTTCTTTCTTTCTGTACCAGGCTCTGAACTCAGAGCCTCACAATGGCTTCGCTGGCGCTCTACTTCCTGAGCCACACCTCCAGTCCAGCCTCTGAGGGTTAATTGGAAATGGAGTCTCACCCTGCAGTCCTACAGATCTCAGCTTCCCAAGTAGCCAGGACTGTAGTCGTGAGCCACCAGCGCCACCAAACCCTGACTTCCTCCCCTTTCTTTTCTCTTTTTCCTTTTCCTCCTTTTATTTTTTGAGCTAGCGTCTTGCTGTACTGCCCAGGCTGGCCTTGAGGTCCTGTGCTCAGATCACCCCGCAGCCTCCCAAGTGTGCACTGTCTGGCTTATCACCTCTTTTCAATATGTGCTCTGTGGCAAAATAGGAAATTCAGTGGGTGTTGAGGGTTGGGATGGAATTTCCCTGGAATCCCCCAACCCTAGCAAGTTATCACGTCTGAGACAGGCTTTCCCACGCAGGGTCTGTGCGGGAAGGCGCCTCCCGGCGACTCTCCTGTCCACGGAGAGGGGCGGTCACTCCGCATACTGTCCCTTTACCTGCAGAGCGCGGCTCTCTCCTGATGGGGACAGAGCAGACTCCTTCCTGCCTACCCCCGTGTGCTCACAGTGAACAGGACTCCTAGGCATGAAGCACCACCAGCAATCTGTGACCTGTTGACAGCGTGGGCTCTGGCGCCTTGCCGGGCCAGGATGGCCTTACCCGGGCAAGACTCCCACAGAGACCGAAGGGGGGCGGTGTATGGCTCTGTGGGAGGGGATTCTTGTCAGGAGGCCTGGAGGCCTTGTGTTGGAGGCAGGTATCATCTTTGGGTGGGGCTGATGGACCAAGAAGGCAGACAGGACTGGGCAGGAGAGCTGGCTGGGCAGAAGGTTCTGTCTGCAGCTACCCATGGCCACACTAGGTCTCATACCCTCAGCGCCTACGGTGTCAGGAATTGGCCATGCCTCCTACGCAGACAGCAGTGTCAAATGGGGTCACCTCATGAGCCTCCAGGAGGCTGTGTCACCACCGGAGGTGCGAGCGAGGAGGTGCACATGTTGGGAAAGTCCCCCGGGTTGGTACAGGAAGAGGCAACAGGGTATTAGCGAGGGCGTGGGAGAGAGGAGGTGAAGTGGACAGGAGCAGGAGAGGCCGCAGGAGGAACGAGTCGGGGACTCACTCAGCAGCATGCAAGGCTCATGACACACCGGGCACCAGGGAGGCCGGGTCACACCAGGTTCCCAGGTGGGGTGACAGGGCGGAGGGAGGTGAGCGCTGAGCCAGGCAGCCCCAGAGGCAGTGGCAGGGACGGGACCGAGGGGAGAGATGAGCTCAGCTTGGACAGGTCTGGGTTGAATATGTGGGCACACAAGTTCCCCCAAAGCCAACACGACTCATGGGGGAACCAGCCTGGTGGCAGCACGGCTGGCACTTTACGAGGTAATCAATGCCTTAAAATAACAACAGATGTAGCTGGCAAGCACTGTGGCTCCCTCAGGCCAGGACACATGACTCATGTCCCTTAATTGACTTTTCAGCCCTATTAAGTCCCATTATCATGTCTATGAGCAAACCTGGGCATGGAATGAGTTATGTAAGCTCCATTGTAACAGAAGAAGTACACAGGAGGCACTCTGTACCTGCCTGGCACGCACCAGGGACCTGGCCCCGCCCTTTCCCTGCGGTACCCCTCATCGGGACACAGCTAACTACAGGCAGAAGAGGAAGGCTCGCTCCTCCTTCCTCAGAAACTCACAAGCCCCATGCCCAGGTGTTTTCTAGATCACTCATCCTTGGGAAAGGTCTTGGGGAGAATTCACATGGGGCATTTACAACACTGGCATCGAAACTAACCCAGCATGCCTCGGGGTGTTGACAAGAGGCATTCTAATGCTCGAGGGGTGGGAGCCTCGCCTCGTGGATGTGCGCCCTATGGGAAGGGACACAGGAGCTTCTTCCTGCTCACTGTCTCTCCACACACAGGAACCAAGGAGAGGCCGTGCGAGGACACGGTGAGAGGCTGGCCACCACAAGCCAAGACAGAGAGCATCCTCATCAGAAACTGAACTGGCTGGAAAGTTGATCTCAGAGGACTAGAGGACTAGAGGGGGGAAAAGGCCCATGGTTGAAGCTGCTCAGGGAATTGGTTTTGGTGTCAGTACAGGCTTTGGCGTTGCTACATCAACCCAGAGAGCATGGCCAGAGGTTGGTCCCTTCTCATGGCAGCCATGGCAACCGATTCCCCTTGCCTGAACCCCAAAATAGCCAAGCATTGGGAAGGCTGACCTCTAAGGGTGACCCCCAGACCCAGCCACAAGCAAGCAACAGAAGCCTGAGACAGATGTCAGAGCAGATGTGTGGTTTCCCTGCTCCTCTCTACCACCTTTAGTGTCCTGGAGCCCTTGCTCAAGCCAAGTCCTGCTCCAGCCCTCTCTCATTTCTGCCTCAATCCTTCTATGCTCTGCCCAGAGGGAGACCAGTTGCTTCCACCACCTTCCTGACTGTCCCTCACTCTATCAGCCTGAGTTCCACGACACTGTTGATGACCTGGCTATCCATGCCTGGCATTCCCAGGCTCCTTCAGGGCAGTCTGAGACACACTTGTCTCTGTGTCCAGAGCCTGCTACAGGGCCCCACACAGAGCAAGTCCTCCTTGTGGCCAAGGCGGCCTCTTGAATTCATATTCCTGTTACTACTTGGGAGACATATTTTGGGCTGGCATGGTGGTGTATACCTATAATCCTGGCTACTCAAGAGACAGAGACGGAGGCCAATCTGGACAAAAAGTCAATGAGATCTTGTCTCAAAAGCAGGCTGGGGCTCAGCGCTGGTGGTTCATGCCTGTAATCCTAGCTACTTAGGAAGCTGAGATCTGGGGATTACAATGTGAAGTCAGCCCAGGCAGGAAAGTCCAGGAGACTTTTATCTACAATCAACTACCAAAAAGCTGAAAGTGCAGCTGTGGCTCAAGTAGTAAATAAAGTGCTAGCCTTGAGCAAAAAGTCTCAGAGACAGAGCCCAGGTCCTGTGTTCAAACTCCAGGACCAGCACAAAAAAGAAAGGAAGGAAGGAAGTTAGGAAGGAAGGAAGTTAGGAAGTTAGGAAGGAAGGAAGGAAGGAAGGAAGGAAGGAAGGAAGGAAGGAAGGAAGGAAGGAAGGAAGGAAGACTTCAGTTGAGTATGACAGCACAAGCCTGTAATCCCAGCTCCTCAGGACAGGGAGGGAAGCAAAGGTAACAAGTTCCAGTTCCATCTCAAAAATAAATGAGAAGCAAAGGGTTTGGCATGTGGTTCTGCCAGTAGACCACTTGCCTAGAAAGTGCGAGATCCTGAGTTCAATTCCCAATACTGAAAAAAAAATAAAAAGAAAAAATCAACAACTGCGGAGCACATTTCAGCTCAAACTCTTGTCCTGTGCTTTGTCTCTAAAATGTTCAGGACTTTCATTTCCAAGAGGGAAAGTTCTATCACTGCTGTGCTTCAGGGTCAGGCCAGTCATCTCCAAGATCATGGTTTGAAGCCACAAATCTGAGGGACCCTCATCTCCAACTAATCACCAGAAAAATCCAAAGTGGAGCTATGGTTCAAGTGGAAAAGCACGAGCCTTGAGTGAGAAAGTTAAGGGACAGCACCCAGGCCCTGAGTTCAAGTCCTAGGACCAGCATCAAAAACTGAAACAAAACAACAACAACAAAATACTGTACATGGGTCATCACATCTTGAGTAATGATGGCGTCATCTGAAGACCAACCCAGTCCTCACCAGCACATGGGAGCGTGACTGCCCCAGCCGTGGCTCCCTCCTGAATAGCTAGACAGCCACCAGTGTCTACAGCCAGGCCTGCATCCAGCATGTTTGGGTCCTTTCAATGTTCAGCTAGAGGCTGATGGAAAACCAAAAGGTGCTCAGGCAACGTGAAACACCTAGAATGTTACTGTTAAAAGTCTATGTTAGAAAAAAAAATTAACACTGAAGCCAGGCACCAGTGGCTCACGCCTGCAATCCTAGCTACTCAGGAAGCTGAGATCTGAGGACTGCAGTTCAAAGCCAGCCCAGGCAGGAAAGTCCCTGAGACTCTTATCTCCAAAGAACTGTAGCTCAAGTGGTAGAGTGCCAGCATTGAGAGAAAAAGCTAAGGGACAATGTGCAGGCCCTAGGTTCAAGCCTCAGTATCAGCAGCAACAACAAAATAAAAAAACAACACAAAAAAATCTCTTGACTGAATTTGGAGAGTCTTGAATGATCATCTGAACTGCTAAGGTTGAGAAGTGAGTCTGGGCCCTGCGATCTCATTTGGGCCTCTTGGCAGGGCTGGTTTACAGAGCAAGTCCCCGAGAACAAAGAAAACTGTCTTCTGGGCACCCATGGCGCATCCCTGAAATCCTAGTTCCTCAGAAAGCTCCAGCCTGGAGGGTCATGGTTCAAATCCAACTTGGAAAACAAAAAGCCAGATGGGAGGCATGGCTTCAGTAGTAGAGACAGCCAAAGCAAGCAAGATGAAAGAAAGAACAAAAGCGGAAGAGGAGAAAGTGGAGAAGGAAGGAATCAGTACTTAATAGTTGGTGCCATCCGGACTGGCTGGGCATGATAATATTAACAACAGATGGTAATATTAGTATGATTAATTATAATGAATATCAATAACATTAACCATAATATTAATGTCAACTTAAATCTCAGCTGTATTTGAAGATAGAAGAGCAGCTGAGAGCTCTATGCATTGCCTGCTGAGAAATAAGATCAGTTGGGTCAGCTTGAAAAAGTATTTTTTTCTGCCCATCAGCAAAAAATGGTGAGATAAACAGATTGAATTCTGGAAGGCAATTGGTAATTTGTAATCTCTAAAGATTGTGTGTGTGTGTGTGTGTGTGTGTGTGTGCTCACTTGCGCGTGCGCTCGCATGTCCTGGGGATTGAACTCCACTCCTGGGCCCAGTTGTATTTTATCTTTTTCCCTGAAAGCTAGCTCCCTATCATTGGAGCCTCACCTCCACTTCTCACTTTTTGCTGATTAACTGGAGATGAGTCTCACAGATTTATCTGCCTAGGCTGTCTTCAAATCTTAACATTCAGAGCTCAGCATTCAAGTAGTAGGATTATAGGTTTGAGCCACTGGAGTCTGGCCATGAAGATTTTTTTGTTTTTGTTTTTGCTCAAAAATGAGTTGGTCCAAAGCCGGGCACCAGTGGCTTACGCCTGTAATCCTAGCTACTCAGGAGGCTGAGATCTGAGGATCACGGTTCAAAGCCAGCCCAAGCAGGAAAGTCCATGAGACTCTTATCTCCAATAAACCACTAGAAAACTGGAAGTGGTGCTATGGCTCAAGTGGTAGAGCACTCGCCTTGAGCTGAAGAACTGAGGGACAGTGCTCACACCCAGAGTTCAAGCCCCATACCACCAAAAAAAAAACAAAAACAAAGACTTGGTCCTTCATTCCACCAGCTTGAGTGGACTGGAGAAAAAACAAATAATGAAAATAGCTTCTTCTGAGGCTGGGAAGGTGGCTCAGTGGTAGAGTGCTCGCCTTGCATGCCTGAGGCCCTGGGTTTGATTCCTCAGCACCACATAAGCAAAAAGAAAAAAGCCGGAAGTGGCGCTGTGGCTCAAGTGGTAGAGTGCTAGCCTTGAGCTGAAGAGCTGAGGGACAGCGCCCAGGCCCAGAGTTCAGGCCCCACGACCAGAACCCCCCCCAAAAAAAAGAAAATAGCTTCTTCTAACACGTACACTGGGTGTGGATTGTTTGGGTACCACCCCAGGGGGCTCCTGGTCCATGTGTACCTGACCAAGGCCACACAGAGTGAGTGTGGCATCCAAGTTGCCATTATCCTGAAGGTAGAAGGCTCACGAACAGGACGAGTAGGAGAGCAAGGGCAGGGACAGGCATCAAGGCCAGGAGCAGCTAGACGATGGGAGGGGTCACCTTGAACTCTGCGAAGTCAAGGCACCCTTTCCTTTCCAGGTGGGATGTGATATGCACAGGAGAGGCAGGGGACAGGAGAAAGGGGGATGAGATAGCTGTTCTCTGTGTCATGTGGGCAGCATGGCCAAGCCACGACATTGTCACCTGGGCAACTGTCATGACCTGATCACTGCACCCCTCCAACCGAACTGCACCCCACCCTTCCCAGGCCACACTCTAAGCACAGCACAGCACACACATGCACATACAACCTACTCTTTAAACATTTCATCTTCTCCTTCAAACCTGTAATAGAGTAAGGTGGAGTTATTAAACCGCCAAGAGAAGCTGCCAAGTTCAGATGCGGGAGCAGGAACACTTCCATTTGTTGGTTTTAACCAGTATACACAAAGGGCTGTGATTCCAGGAACAAAATAGGAATACATATATGCATATATATACACACATATCTACACATACACAATCACACATCAATATATATACGCGCATAGATACACACATGCACATATGCATATACACACATTTGTACACACATATTCAACATATACGTATGCAGATAACATCACACATAACGTATGCACTCATACATTTTTCTTACATCTACTTAATATCATTATACCAAATGATATGCTAGATATATATGCTACCACTTTCAAGAACTATGCGTGGTCACACAGTTTTGTTATCTCTAGCGGTACTTAAAGATTTAATTCTAGAGTTTCTAAAGTCTCCAAGTTTTTTCTTTCTTGGGCACTTGAACACGTTCACTGGGGTCCAGTCAGCTCAGGGATCCCACAGATCAGAATCTGACACCAGAAGTGGTTTGGGCTCTCCAGTTTACTGCACAGGAAATAAAGACCCGTGAGACCTTGCTCAGCACATGAGCCGTTCTTCATGCCTTGTTCTGGGCAGAGTGGGTGAAACTTCCAAGTGTGGGTAGATAGTGGGGAGTCAACAGAAAATGTGGTGGTTGAACAAGAGTCAGGGTTCAGACTCTCCTGAACCTTGTTCATGTCAAATTTTGCTGAGGAATTCAGTAACAGGGTAAAGGTTATATTATGCAGGCCTGGTGCATCACGCCTAGAATCCTAGCTATTTGGAAGGATGAATCTAGCCTGTGCACACAAATCCCAGACACCCTTAGTTTTTGGTCAGTCATGGGGCTTGAACTCAGGCCTGGACGCTATCCCTGAACTCTTTTCCTCAAGGCTAGGACTCTACCACTTTGAGCCACAGTGCCACTTCCAGTTTTCTGGCAGTTAACTGGAGCTTAGAGTCTCGCTGATTTTCCTGCCCAGACTGGCTTTGAACCCAATCCTCAGATCTCAACCTCCGGAGTAGCTAGGATTATAGACATAAGCCACCAGCACCTTGTCCCAGACACTCTTACATCCAATTAGCCACAAAAGGCCAGAAGTGGAGGTATGACTAAAGTGGAAGAGCACCAGCCTTGATTGGAAAAAGCCAAGTGAGAGCATGAGGCCCTGAGTTCAAGCCCCAATACTGACACATAAAAGGAAGGAAGGAAGGTAGGAAGGAAGGAAAGGGAAGGAAGGGAGAGAGAAAGGAAGGAAAGGAGTCAGAAAGAGAGACAGACAGAGACAGAGATAAAGAGAGGGAAGGGAAGGGAAGGGAAGGTAGTGAAGATACAGCATAGGAAGGATCTGTCACGCAAGTTGCACTAATAGTGTGGGCTCTCGTCTAGCCCACCATCCTAGGCTTCCACTGAGCCCCAGAATGTTGTTGTGACTTGTGTGGCTGCAGCCTGGACAAACCCCTCCTAGACAGACCTACCTCCATTGGCCAGGAGATTCTCTTGGACTTTCCCCTTGGAGTCTTCCATGACCTCTGCCACGCTCTGCGCCATTCTCTTTATGAGACTGTGGAGAGAAGCAAACAGCGGTGAGGCAGGGGACACACAGCACTGCTGGCAGGGGAGGCCGCCATGATTGCCAATCTGTATATAGGAAGAGACTTTCACTAGGAGGAACCTTTGAACCAGTCATTCCACTTCTGGGAAACCATCTTCAGGAAATAGGAAACACAGCGGGAAAGAAAAAAAGCTTTCTGAATAGAAAGAGGTTCTTGACAGCATTACTGCTGACAATAAAAAATAATAATAACTGGAAACAAGCAGATGGTGTAACAATGGGGAACTATTTGCACGAGTGATGGCAGATTCCAGCTGACAGACTGTTGGGCAGATACTGAAAATGTGGTTTACAAAGAATTTGAATGACCATGGAACAAGGCACATATTATAATGGAAGGTGGAAAAACCCAAGACAGAAAGCAACGCAGCCAGGCCGGCTGCCTGAGGGTATTTCGTGTGTTTTTCCTATTTCTATATATTTTCCTATTATCATCCGACATTTCTTTTATAATTAGGAAAATCAAGCTTTTGGTTTCCATTAGATGCACTGAAAGCTTCGAAGTTCAGGAACTGGAAGCTGAAGAATTTACCCTGGTCCTGACAACGTCCACCTGAATGCGTTAGGCCAAATTGGTTGAATTTCCAAGCCTCAACTTTCATTTACAAAATGTGGGATGTAAATCCTAGCTACTCAGGTTGCTAAGATGGGAGGATCACAGTTCAAAGCCAGCTTGAGTGGAAACACCTAGAAGGCTCTTATGTCCAATTAACCAGCAAAAAGTCAGAAAGTGGAAGTGTGGCTCAAATGGTAGAGTACCAGCCTTGAGCCAAAAAGCCAAGTGAGAGCATGAGGCTCTGAGTTCAAACCTCAGTACTGGGGACGAAGGATGGGAGAACACAAGCTTGTTTTCCTGATGGTCATGTTTAGGGTCAGAAACGGGAAAACACAAACATACAGTAGCAAAAACAGAACAACCAAGCCAAGGGGCAGTGGCTCACGCCTGTAATCCTAGCTACTCAGGAGGCTGAGATCTGAGGATCACAGTTCAAAGCCAGCCAGGGCAAGAAAGTCTGTGGGAATCTTATATCAAATTAACCATCAAAAAATAATCTGGAAGAAGAGGTGTGGATTAAACAGTGGAGCACCTACCTTGAGCAAAAAAAAGCTCAGAGGCAGTGCTCAGGCCCTGAGTTCAAGCCCCAGGACCAGCACCAAAACCAACCAAACAAAAACTGAACAACCACGCTAGGGATGCAGGTCAGTGAGCAGAGCACTTGCCTAACACATGCAAAGTCCAAAGACCCCACAGGAGTTGAGATCTTCTTTTGATAATATCTATCATTGGTGGCTTTTACCAAGTTTCAAAGGCAATAAACACAGTCTCTTTTAATCCTCACACAAAAAAAACTCCCTGAGGTGACATAATCCCATTTTATACTGAAGCCCCAAGAAGTGACTGGTCCCCACCCACCCAGTCTGCACAGGGGTCGGCAAAGGCAAGGCTCTCCCACCAGGCCACACCCTCCCACGGGGCCCTGTGGCCTGTCACGGGCTTGAATGTCCACTATTGTGCCAACATCTCTTAGGCGAGTAGTTCACAGTGCCGCACTAGGACAGACGTGGCCAAGTTACCCAACTCAGCTCAGTTTCCTGGGCCATAAAGTGGGGAGCATGTCAATATCACAGGGCTCTTCATACAAAGTGTCCCCAGGCATGAGAGAGAAGGACTTAGAAATGTGCTCCAGGGCACCGGATGGTGGGCACTGCCAGTGATCCTAGCTACTCAGGAGGCTGACATACGAGGCTCACAGTTAAAGCCAAGCAGGGAAGAAAAGTGTCCATGAGACTCTTCTCTCCAGTTAACTACTCAATAACCAGAAGTAGAGCTGTGACTCAAATGGTAGAGTGCTAGCATTGAGCACAAAGAGGCTTAGGGACAGCACTCGGGATCTGAGATCAAGCCCTACAACTGGAAAAAAAAATTTTTTTTTAAGAAAGAAGAGTGCATCAGGGGACACAGGCACTTTGTTCTCTTGTCCTCCAGCTCCCCGGGAGATTCCACAGAAAATCCAAGGAATTTCAGGCCGGCAGAAGCGGCTCAGCCATTTGCAGATCTCAGCCTGGTCTGTGTGCTCCTGTCTTGTAGCTCTCCTACAACCCACACCGCTCTGGGTTGTTCTAGACACAGACCATGATGACTTATTTTTAAATTAATTAATTTATTTTAATTTTAATTTTTGGTGCTGGTCATAAGACTTGAACTCAGGGCCTGGACACTGTCTCTGAGCTTTTTTTCCCCCCATGAAGCTAGTGCTCTACTACTTGAGCCATGGTTCCACCTCCAGCTTCTTTGGAGTAGTTAATTGGAAATAAGAATCTCATGGACTTTCCTGCCAGGGCTAGCTTTGCACTACGATCCTCAGATCTCAGCTTCCCCAGTAGCTAGGATTACAGGTGTGAGCCATTGGTGCTGGACTCACTTCTGGCTTTTTGCTGGTTAATTGGAGATAAGAGTCTGTGGAGTTTTCTGCCTAGGTTAACTTTGAGTCTCACTAGTCAGATCTCAGACTATTGAATAGCTAGGATTACAGAAGTAAGCCACTGGCACCCAGCATTTTTCCCCCTAGCTTTTAAAAAAAAAGCTATGTCCGTAACGAACACAAACATGGAAAAAACATAGCCTCTTCAGCTATTGGTGTTGGGAAAAATGGACACCCATATGCAGAAAACAAGGTGGATTCCTGCTTGTCACCATGCACTAACATCAACTCAAAGTGGATGAAAGACCTCAACATCAAACTTGAAACTCTGAAACTACTGCAAGAGAAAGGAGAGCAGAGACATTAGAAACTTCCTGAATAGAGTCTCAGGGGCACAGCAGATAAGAGCAAGACTTGACAAGTGGGACTACATTAAAATAAAAAGCTTCTGCACAGCTAAGGACATAGCCACTAAACTAGAAAGACAGCCAACCAACTGGGAAAAGATCTTTACCAGCAATACATCAAAGGCCTAATATTCAAAATATACAAGGAGGTCAAGAAACTAACCCTTCCCAAACCTAATAAACCAATCACTAAACAGGCAAGGGAGCTAAAAAGAGACTTCTCAGAAAAAATAGATAAAAATGGCAAAGAAACACATAAGGAAACGCTCATCATCCCTGGCCATAAGGGAAATGCTTATCAAAACAACTCTGAGATACCATCTTACGCAAGTTAGATTGGCCAACATTTTGAACTCTGACAACAACAAATGCTGGTGGGGATGTAGAGAAAAAGGAACCTTACCTGCACTGCTGGTGGGAATGTAAACTAATACAACTACTTCGGAAAACAGTCTGGACGTTTCTCAAAAAACTAACATAGACCAGCCATACCACCTCTGGACATTTACCTTGATCATGAACTGGGATACGATAGGGACACCTGCACATCCATGTTCATTGCCACGCTGTTCACAATAGTCAAGATACAGAAACAACCCAGAGGCCCCACAGTAGATGAAGGGATCCAAAAAATGTGGTACCAATGTACAATGGAATTTTACACAGCCACTAGGAAGGATACAATGATGCCATTCACAGGGAAATGGATGGAACTAGAACAAATCAAGTAATGTATGCCAAGATCAGAGAGACAAATGGCACATGTTCTCCCCAGTATGCAGAAGTGAGACTTAAAATGCAATGAGACATGACAAATTATACAGAATTCTAGACACTCACAGACAATGAGACCAAAAGAGGATAGTCTTAGGAGAAAAACACCAAGTTGTAATACCCAGGCATTTCTTCATATGTATATAAAATAATATACATACTGAAGTGAACTCCAAAGATATGGAAACAAAGGACCTTCTTCTTAATTTTCTGATGACTCTGTATTGTTTAGCTCATATACAGTGTACACACGTGCACATGTGAGGGAGGAGGGGGGGGCACAGAATCAGTGGGAAGCGCGTGGAGGCGCGCAGCAGCAGAGCCCGCTGGCCGCACTGGACATTGGTGAAAGTGAACCACGCAACTCCTGGGTGGAGATGGCAGGGAGGGAATGGGGACAGATGATAGTTGCCAAAGGAAGGAAATGTACTTATTGCCTGCCATATGTAAAGGTAACCCTGCTGTGCATCAACTCTAAAACAACAATAAAGTAACAAAAACATTCTAGCAGTAGTGGGGCTTGAACTCAGGACTTGGGTGCTGTTCTTTAGCCTGTCACTCAAGGCTAGTACTCTACCACTTGAGCCACAGCTCCACTTCTGGCTTTTTTTGGAGGTTAATTGGAGACAAAAAATCTCACGGGCTTTTCTGCCCAGGCTGGCTTCAAGCTGAGATCCTCAGATCTCAGCCTCCCGAGTAACTAGGATGAAGGCGTGAGCCACTGGCGCACAGGCAAGCTGCCATCTCCTATGACCACATGCGGGTCAACACTGGGTTTGCATCAAGTTGCTGACAGGAGCGCGCTGAGGATCAGAGGGGCCCCATCCTCACAGGGCCTGCCGGTCCCCACGCGCCCCGCAGCCATGGGAACAGCAGAGGCCTCAGCCTGTGGTCAGTGAGTGCTTCCTGTCCCGGGTTCCCCACGGCCTTTCACAGAATCTCTCACTGCAGCCAAGTCGCCCTTAGGCCAGTCCTCACATCTGAATAACACGCTCTGATTAAGCTTGGATGCTAGAAAAAGCCTCCTTCCATACGGTAAAACCAGCTGTGACCATTAACTGTAGTCATCTGAGAACTAGGGTATTAGCCAACCAGAACTTATTTCTTTTTGTAAGAAACATAAAAACCTTGATGCTATCTTTTTTTTTTTTTTTTTGCCAGTCCTGGGGCTTAAAGTCAGGGCCTGGGCGCTGTCCCTGAGCTTCTTTTGCTCAAGGCTAGAGCTCTACCTCTTGAGCCAAAGCACCAGTTCTGGCTTTTTCTGTATATGTGGTACTGAGGAATCAAACTGAGAACTTCATGCATGCTAGGCGAGCACTCTACCACGATGCCACATTCCCAGCCC